TTCCCTTCTCAATAGTATTCTTTGGGATCAATCAATCTCTAATAATAACAAGCACAATATATATAATACAATCATTAAAAGTATAATTACCTACAGTAGTGAAGTATGGCAAATAAAGGAAAGATACAAGAGAAAACTTGAGGCAACGGAAATAAATTTCTGGAGACGTTAAGCTGGAAAATCTAGACTAGAAAGAGTAACGAACTACAGAATAAGAGAAATTATGAAAGTAAAACATAAAATAGTAGACGATATTGGTACCCAACAACTCAGATGGTACGGTCATGTACAGAGAATGTCTAAAGAACGTCTCCCAAAACAAGTCTTAATGTGGACCCTCACGGTAGAAAAAAAGAGGAAGACCCCCTTAGTTGAGAGAAGTATCAATAGAGAAATGAAAGACAGAGACATAGAAGAAGACTTATGGATGAATCGAGAGGAGTGACAACTGGGTATCGGAAGATGTAGAAGAACGTTTTAAACCGATCTAGTTTCCTCACCAAATAATACCAGCCTTTCAGATTGGAGTATAATTATAAACAAACTATCTGATGTATTGCTCTATATTGTCATTTTTATTGTAATAATCAAACTTGACGATGACCACTATCTATATAGATATCAATCAACCCGAGTTTTATTCCCCGTTCTTTGCTAGAATGTAGCAGTCAACAAAATTATTAAAGACTGATTTGAAGCCGTAAAACAAATATTTGGGAATCACGAATTTTAGACAATTCGAACGATTCCTTAGATTCCTTCTGTACTATCGTTCCTATTGAATGATTCGATCTTGACTGACTCACCTCTAATTGTTATTATAAACTAACAACACTCCCACGGGTCTTCGTATCCTTCGTATCGTAATTGAATTAATTCTTATCAAAACACTATCAATTACTGACAATAAATTGGTCAGTGTCCATAAAATTTGATCGCCGCTATTATTTAATGGATAATTTCAAGAATAGGTGTACGATCGTTCGAAATTATAAGCTTTGAAGAACCTATATTTATGACATTCAATATGATATACGAGTTCCGTACGGTGGAATTATTAAAATTGGAATGTTCCGAGATGACTCACGTTGTCTGCTTCGAACACGTGACGAAAAAATAATTATAATGCTCCGGTTTAGATAGATAATATCGTTTTTTGGTAAACGATCACAAAAAACTTGCCCGCTCGATAAAAAATATCGTCTATTTTCGTCAATCAATTTAAATAACCAACCATTCTTTATATACATGTACAGTATTATACTATAATATTATTTTAATTAAAGCTAAGATAACTGCAGCAAATGCTATTGCAAATTGGAATATATTATATAATATTAATAAAGTTAAAGCCAAAGAAAAAAACAATAAAGGGTTAAATATTATTTTAAGGAAAGCTAAGATAATTGCAGAATATATATATATATATATATATATATATATATATATATATATATATATATATATATATATATAGGAGAAGTTCTCCTGAAACATCAAGACGAAGCAGAACTAATCTGACTTGACAATGGCAAGTGTGACCTTGCCGAAACGTCGTCAAAACAATGGTTTTTCTAAAAACCAAAATTACTTAACGCGGAGTCAAACCCGGAAAACAACTGAAATCATATATATATATATAATATATATATATATATATATATATATATATATATATATATATTATAGTTAAAGCCAAATACAAAAACAATAAAGAGTTAAATATTTAATAAGAAAACAAAAGATTTGGAACTAAATAGTATAAAAAGTATAAAAGTATAAAAAGTATAATGTAAGAACACATTAAAAGAATCATTTTGATAATGCATTTAACAAGGAGATTACAGTAGCATAAACAAATCAGATAACTTGAGCAGTGTCGACAAACAGTCGGACGCACCTGGGGCCTTTCGCCCAGGGTGATCGCCTGGGTCTACACTGCTGTCATAAGGCCAATACTAGTTTATGGAGCTATTGCTTGTGTACCAAAAGTGCTACAGGCAACAGCGACTAAGAAACTAAACCATATGCAGCGGATAGCTTACAAAAATATACTGTTGCAATGAAGTGGATCATTGGCATCACGCCTCTAGATATATGTGTCAAAGAGGTGGCACTAGTGACAATGATGCGACTGCGCACAGCTGGTCCAAACCTTTATGTAGGAATGGGAGAATTAAGAACTCGTTTCTGACAAGGAGAGCTGGAAGCGCTACCACTGCTACAGGTGGGCTGCGAATCAATTGAACCAAAGTTTGTCTTTAACAAACCCTAAAAAATCGAAACAAGACAGTATAGGGAGACAAACGTGGCAAATGCCTATTGTATATACACCGATGGCTCCAAAATAGAAGAAGGCGCAGGATGCGGGATATACTCTAGATCACTGAACCTAAAAATAAAGTGGGGTATGGGCAAAAATAACAGCGTACCTCAGACAAAACTAGCTGGTATCTCCATAGCCGCAAAAGAGATAACCCAAAAAGGTATAGCAGGGAAAACTAACAGCATTGCTGACCAATTGGCTAGGAAGCCGGCAGGCCCAACACACTTAGGGCCTGAGGATCTTTTTGGTTGGTCAACTGCAATAATCGCGAAAATTGTTAAATGTCACTCCCATACGCAAACCATAAAAAGATGGGAAGAAGGCAAGACTGTAAACTTGCCAGGGTAACACTAAGTAACCTTAAAGAGTCAGCATTAAAGAAGTACTTAGGAATGACCAGGAAAACCTATGCTTGACAGTTGGTTTTTTAACTGGTCATTGTCAATTAAGCAAACAGTTCCGCACGCTGAGGCTAGCAGACACACCTGTATGTAGGAAGTGTGAACGAGAAGACGAAACTATAGTGCATATCCTATGTGAATGTTTGGAGTTAACGTTAATATGAGAGTACGCATTCAGCGAGTCCTGGCTCACACCTGCCAACATAAGGGAGATGTCTCGTGGTGACTTGGTGGTCCACCATCCTAGAAATGTTAGGATGGACAATAAGCTAAAGGCGACAATTTCCTGGGAGGATGCACAATGGGTCAATTGGTTCAAAGTGCTGTGGAACTTAACCCGCCCTCCCTACTCTACAGATACAGAGAACTTAAGTAATTGGAACATGGGAAACTTGAAGGAGTTGATGGGTTTCTCAGAAACAGCTATGTAAACAGAGTAATGTAGCCCTCGAAATATCCCTGTGCCTGAGATATGCCTCTCGTAAAGGTCAAAAAGAGTCGGCATATTTGTTATAATGTCAACTTTTTGATGAAACGATTTACAAAATCGCAAACGATAAGTTTTATTTGTTAGGTTAAGAAGAATAAAAAGAAGAGAGAGACAAAATATTGTGGAAATAGGTATAAAGAATTTTCAAATAACTTCCAACCAAACATTGGAAAAATTTTGTTAATTCTTAATCTCGACTGTCTAAAAATAGTCACTTTTTCCACAATTGCATTTCTTTTTATTTTAAACAGAACTTTCTCCTGAGAATATCAGATTGCTGAGAAAACTGACTAAACTTAAACAGCGCATCTTAGAATCTACGAAATGAATTGCAATTTACTAATGCTTGTTTAAAAGGTAGGTATTTAAAAATCCTTTAACTTATCTCTTTCTACAATTTTTTCCTCGTTTGGTTAAATTTTTAAAATCAATTGGAAATATTGTTCTGAAGCTACTTTCTTGTGGCATCTTAATGGATTTACTATTTTTATTGAGAATAAGCCACAATTTAAGTTTAAAATTAATGTATTTTTGATGTTTCAATTGCCACTTTTTTGTGTTTATTTTGTCGTTGTTCTCTGTAGCTAATACTTCATAAGCAATTTCTTTATTACCGTTTTGAGGTTGTTGTATTCTTGTTCTACATACATATTTCTGTTCACCCCATTAAGTTCCTTTTCTAATCTAGATTAAAAAAGATGTTTAATACTTGGTTGAAAAAAACGATGCAATTCATATCTCTCCGTTTTGTAGTGTGTAGTATTGTTTCTCTCACTTTCGGTGTTCTGCTTATAGCATTGTTTAAAGGGACACAAAAGATTACCTAAAAAAAAGTAGTGATCTGTCCCACAGTTAGATCCTCTTATTTACCTTGCAGTCTTGGCACTCAAAGTAGCTCAGAGATATAACTTTTCAAATATAGGCTGAAAGGGGCACTTTTCAAGGGACATTTCGCGAGCCTAAGGCCACCTAGAGTGCTAAAAGGTACTTTTTACGTTACAATGTTATACTAAAATTTGGTAAAGATCCGCGCCCCCTTACTTATAAAAGAGGTCGAAAAGTAAAGAGAAATGGTCGACATTCGCCGGAAAGCAATTATATTTTTGACACACTCAACGGTAGGTGGTTGCAATACAAATACTTACTTAGTTCTTGCTGTTTCGTATATATAAACCCCTATTTACCTGTATATCGATCATGTGACATTTACAAAAGTTTGTTGCTACCTCATCTTAAGAGATGTAATAAAGTAGATAGTACTAAGAAGTTGATCTTTCAAAAACTTATATCTCAAGCTTTTTGCTGTAAATTAATGACCTTCCCACAGACGTGTAGATAACTTTTTCAGCAACACAGCACTCAGATTTTTTTAGTCATATAGATCAATTTGCCTACAAGATCAAGGCCAATTATGTTAATTTTGAAAGTATAACAAACAACAATAAACTAATAACAAACAACTTGGTTATACATTTTCGCAGCATTCTTTAAAATAATCTTTTTTGGAGCGATTTCCGGAGTGGAAATGGAAACGTCGAACATTAGCAGTTAAGAATGTAATTTTAATAACAAACAATAATTGGAAATTAATACCATACAAGAATAATTTTTAAATTAGAATTAGACATGCCACAAGAAAGTAGTCGCAGAACCATAATAATTTTTGTTTAAATATTTTTCCATCATAAAAAATAGTAGATTAGTAATGGTTACACAATATCCTTTATTTATCATATCTTACTATATTACCACATACACAATATATATTAATAAAAAAACTTACCACGGAAATCAAGCTGAATAACATCGAGGTCAGCGATGACCATAGGGGGTTTCGAAGCCGTCTTCTCATAATCGTTGAACCACTCGCACCTTAGCCTTTTGGCCTCGTCCCACACTTCCAGCAGATCTTTATCGTACTGCACCACTACGGTATTTTCATAAAATTGACCGTGTAGATCGGGTTTAGTTCCACACCTTGCGTACGCTATGCGAAATGAGAAAAATGTTTGTCCCGTAGCCGGAGGTACGTAGACGCACCGAGGGTCACCGTGTTGACCCTTCGACGACACGATACCCTCGAAGGGCTGAGAAAACGTTAGGTGAACGTCCATGTGATCCTTTCCGCACATCACCTCCAGGTTCTGAATGGCTGGCATGCCTTCCGGCCTGTCCAGTGGCCATATATCACTGGCGCTATGTGATACACTGATTATCTGCAACAAGAAGATACTACTTTAAAAAATGTGTATTAAGCTAACAAACACAAATAGTTTTATTATTTTTAATTGTAAAAACAAGTATTCTTGTAGAGTTTTGTTTTGGTTTGTATACCACATATTGTCGTTGACCAATTTAGAATACGCAGCTGCTGCTTTGGTTCACTTGACTTCACTGCGTCATTATATTTATATATGTGCAGATACTTCTTCATTAGTTTATAATATTTTTGTGCAAGATCCCAAAAAGGTTAACTGACCACATCTAATCAAAAAATCGTAATCCATTGATATGTTTTCAATGCTGTTATGTTCTTACCACTTGTTTCCTCCAGAACACAAACTGTACTAGTATGCCATATACCAGAGTCACAAACACATAAGTCATTAGTTCCATGATCTAAATAATTAATTAACTAGAAAATATCTTATTTACCAAGAGTCTATCTTCAATGTATTCTATTGCTTATAGCCCAAGTTGTTGATAGAGTCGAAAGAAGGTCGATTAAACAATATAGTTCAATTTTCGAAAACTACTCTATGTTATAAAGGGCGATGTCAAAAACAACTTTGCAGTCCGTGCCATAATATATTTTTGGTTATAATTTATATCTAAAACTTTGATAGGGCATTATAATATGCACTTTTTGATTTAGATTGTTGCGAAGCCTAAGGTAATTATCTTTATAAAACAACCATAAAATCATAAAATAACATTCAAAATAAGCTTTACTTTAAGTTTTCAGCTCTTTAGCTTTTATGTTTAAATCGCAGCTAATTTATTTATAACAATTCAGAAACAAAATGGGCAGTATTCGATACTTAATGACTTTTATTTAAAAAAAACAAGCTTTTGTCATAAAAAATAAACATTGAAATTAACCTTCTGCGGAGTTACGACGTGGTCACAGTTGTAGGAGAAATCTTTCTGCAGTCAACGGGTGCGCCATAAATTAGATTCGTAACTTCAAATGGCGAAGCTCGAAAAAAAATGTAATATCTCGGTAAAACTCAACCTATTTCGATATTTTTTGTTTAATCTGAGGTATCACTGATAGCGATTTTTGATAGGGTAGTGATGCATCTTAAATCTTTCGTTGCAACGTGGAATGTTAAAAGTTTGTTCTCTGCAAGAAAACTGGATAATGTTGAACAAGAAATGAATAGACTAAATGGCCAGGATCTATGAAATGTTGAACACGAAATGATGGCGTATTTTATTACTCCGAAATCGACAACAACACACATCGTTACGGAGTTGGAATCATCATTTCAAAGAAATGAAAAAATTCTCGGATTACCTCTACTCCTTATTCAGAGCAGATAAAGATGACAATGAAATAGAACAATTCTACAACGATTTAGAAGAAATGCTGAAAACAATAAAAAAGCAACACATTAACATAATAATGGGCGATCTTAATGCCAAGATGGGTCAAGGTAAGGTAGATGAGCAACTAGGAAACTATGGACTTGGAAACAGAAATGACAATACATGACCAATACATGACACACAAATGACCAATACATGACACTAGTATCGCAATAAACGGTACCCAACTCGAAAAAGTAAGCGAATACAAATACTTGGGAACCCTCATCAATGAAACAGGTGACCAAAATCACGAGATAAAAGACGTATTGAAATTGCCAGGTCTACCTTTATAAAAATGAAAAAATTATTTTGTAATCGTGATATTAGTATTCATCTACGAACTAGAATGTTAAAATGCTATGTATTCAGTACTTTGCTTTACGGTGTTGAGGCATGGACTCTTAAACAGAGGAATGTTAAAAATCTTGAAAGCTTTGAGAAGTGGTGCTACCGCCGTATACTAAAAATAAGTTGGGTGGATAAAATTACAAATGAAGAGGTAATACGCAGAATAAATAACGATCCAGAAGTTATACTGAATATAAAAAAGAGAAAACTTGAATACATAGGCCACCTGATGAGGGACAAAAATACACATTCCTACAAAATGTAATGCAAGGAAAAATCCAAGGACGCAGAAATCCAGGCCGTAGAAGAATGTCCTGGATGAAAAATTTAAGAGAGTGGTTTGGCTGTACCACTAACGAATTATTCAAAACAGCAGTAAATAAAATTAGAATCGCCCTAATGATATCCAATCTCCGATAGGAGAGACACTCAAAGAAGAAGACGCGTCTTAAATAGACTCAACGCCGAAAAGTCAACCTTTGCTTTACGTTGGTGAACCCTGTTATCATAAACGTGGCTCTGAAGACCAAGTATCAGCGAAATAACTAGAATTAGGGAACTGTAATTCCATTAAGACTGAGTGGTGGCGGCATGCCTTTCCGAGAGGTGTTGGCTGAACTGAGTAGGCCGCTTGACCTCGGTTACAACAGTGAATATTACACATTCTTCTGCTCCATCAACCCATCTGGCCAGCGTGATAGGATATGGCCAAAACCTCTAAAAACAAAACATGTCGATTTTAAGACAGACATACATTCCATACAACCATACGAACTAGAAGAGGAATTGCAGACCATAGTTAGGACATAATGAAACTAGCAGAAGTTAAAAGAAGGGTATGTGGACTTATATTAAGGCAACTACAGGAAAATCTCAACATCTCATTCTAATAATTTATAACATCTCGGACATGGTTACATACATGGTGGAGGTGTATGTATATAAAAATAAAAAGAAAAACGAAAAGTCCTTTATATTTCTACTAAGGATGCTAATACCATGACAGAAATCACCTCCAAGTCAAAAGATACAAAAATGAAACCGACACCGTCAACAAATTCGAAAACATGCTATGTATTATTACAGAAAGTGTCCAGATTCACTAGGGTTATGTTTAGAATTTTGTTTTGGGGCATACATAGAAGTTTTTTTGGATTGTGCTATAAAAGAATTATTTTTTAGTTTTGATCACTTGCAGGTAAACTTTTTTTATGATTTTTAAACTATAATACCTGTCACTTTTACATATAATAAACATAATTAGGCAGATTTTATTGATATTTTAATCCGGACTTGATTAATTTTAAATTCCTAATTTAAATTTAATGTTTCAAAAAAATAGTTGCAACATTTATTCAGTTGTTTAAATGTGCGTAATTCTGCAGTTTTCATTTAATAATAATTATTTTAGTTCATTTCTATTTTACTAAGGAACACCATGTAAACGATGTTTTTATACTGAACCCCGTATTATAAAAATTCTGAATAAATCAGGTAAACACTAGCAGCATGACGAAATTATTCAAATTTGTTGACCCAAGGCGGCAGAATTATTCGAAAAACCACCAGAAATATGTAGAGAATCTACACCTATTATTGATTGTCGTGTCTCGGAAAAGAAAAGGAAAAGAAAGACAGCGGTATGTTAATCAGGTGCCTTAGGTCATTGGTCAGGTAAACACCTTTAACGGTATAAGGGAATTTTAATAAATTGTGGACATTTTATTTCCAACTGGAGCCTTCATCGTTTTCAGTATTAGTGGGAATGGTAAATTAGCAGAATATAAATGTCTGTGGGGTAAAGAAAACTATGACTAAGCAAAATTATATAATAAATCATACAATAACCATGAAAACCTTTAATTGTTAGGAAGTTAGCGGCACACGAAGTAGTATTAGCTGAGCCTGTCAAATGTAATGTTTGTTGTCAAATTAAATTAAGTAAAATCGAAATATTAACAATTCAGTAATAAGCAGATATGAAATTACATTAACCCACATATTGTTATAACGCGCTATAAACAGTATTCACCTCTGCCGGCACTTCCTACCTATCACGGGCAATTTTTATTTTAAGAGTTTAGTTTTTAATTTTTTTGAAGGTTTACTGGTCCTATAATTTTGGTTGCGAATCTTCTTCTTCTTAAGGTGCCGTGCATTTCTGCGTAGGCGTCCACCGTACATCGTCTTGTCAGGTGAGATGTTAAATATTCTGGATTAAATAATTCTGTTTTTAGCAGCATTGCGAAGCATTTCATAGCTGTGGATTCCTGTCCATTGTCGAATATTGCGCAGCCAAGACATTTTTTTACGTCCGAGACCTCTCCTACCCTCTATCTTCCCTTCGAGTATCAGTTGCTGAAAAGTGTATCGTTCTCCTCGTATAATGTGCCCCAAGTATGCAGTCTTATTACTTTTTACATAATTAAAAAGTTACCTATCCTGTAAGCCCGCTCTTCTGAGTACTTCCTCATTTCTGGTTGCAAATATGGTGCGAAAATATCATACTGATTAAAAACGAAAAGATACTTGGAATGTTTGAAGAAGGAAAGTTAAAGCTCAGCAAAATCACGAACTACGAGCTCAGGAAGCGAAATCTAAGCAGTTACATCGCGAAAAAGAGAGTTCTGAAACTAGATTAAGTAAGCAGCAGCGAGAATCCACGTTACAGAGGACGCGAAGATCATTGGAAGATGACGTTGAAAGGCGACGTCGACTATCGACTAGACAGAGATCCAGTACTTCGGCAGGCACCGTTACCGCAAGGCAACGTCTCCATCGAGCTCAAGAGACCAATGAGAACCATCAAGCTAGATTGGCCCGAGAGGCACAAATGCAAAAAGAGCGATCGCAACGAGAGATAGCTAAACAGCGACAAGAACAGCAAGAACGACAACAACAACAATTTACTTTCCAAAGAAATATACGCAACAAAAGGGTGCGTGTTGCACAAAATCGCTTGCAGGAAGACGCAGAAAGCAATACTGGATAATTAAGACGCAGCCACTGAGCATCCGTGTGGAACAATGGATGTTCGCTGCCAATATTTTACAGCCAAACACTTGATCGCAGATGGGCCAAAGGATGGAAAATTCACCATGTATTGCCAGAAGGGAAAGTTATAGTTATAGTAAGAGTTAAAAACAAAAGTAAAACGAAAGTGCCAAAGTTGTGGATACACCATCGCAAGGAAAATTAATCCAAGGAATCGATAGAGTTTTCACTAAAAATATAGTTTCTAAAAAAGTTGTGTAAGATTCTTATTCTTTTTGTACAGACATAATATAGACAATTATTCCTAAATATAATTAATGATTTGAAGTAATTTTCATTTTACATGTTCGTGTGCGTACTTGCTCGTGTGAGTGGGTTCATTTCTGTTAATGGGTTTACTCTTACTTCAAATTGAGAAATTATTGGGGAAGGATACGAGGAATTTACTTCCGTTTACCAGAAAAATTAGAGGGAGTAAGAAAAATATGGAGAGAGTCAGACAAAATTGAGTGTGGTGACTGTAAATGGCAGTTGGTTGGATTTCCGTTGCATAGAGACGGGTAAAATTACTAGGTAATAATGACATGACAAGACATGACGATGACGCAGTCGTTATTGCCAGAAGTTTGTCAAGTATTAAACAGGCTATACAAATATTTACTGGTATGAAGAACTTCTTT